TTGCAAACAAATGTTTCTGTACCAAATATTAAGTTCTGCTTTTCTGATGTATCAAGTACTAATGTAATGCAATAAAATGCAAATTAATTAATTAAAAATCATACAATGCGATTTTCTGGATTCCGTATCTCACAGTTGAAGTGTACCTATGATAAAAATTACAGACCTCTACGTTCTTTGTAAGTAGGAAAACCTGCAAAATCAGCAGTGTATCAAATACTTGTTCTCCCCACTGTATTTGTGACTCACAGTCTGTTCATTTACAATGATACTGACAATGATTTACCCCCATAAGAAGAGGCTTTACCATGCGTTCACCATGTTTTGTAATGAAGTCAGGCGACCAAACAGGTTTTTGGCTTTGACATGAGATCTAGAGGCTTGAACAAGATTATCTGTCAGGAGTGGTACTTTAACAAGGCACGCTCTCTCTTGAGCAACAAAATACAACTCACTCATGTTGTGGTTTCCAACATTTTCCCCCCAGTGCCAGTATTTCTTGGAACTTCTTCTTGGTGCACCAGATGGTATCCTAATATACTTTTCACTTGATTGTTATTCCTGCTTGCTTCAGTGTAACTAGTGCATTTGCAGCTGACGTAAATAGTAACCCCCCAACCATTATGACTTAACAAAACCACTTGCCCACTTTGACTTTAGGAAGCAGAACTACAGTTGCTCATCTTTCTCATCATCTAAAGTACTGGCTCGGGGCACTGTGAAAATCTGTAAAATCACTTGGAGAAGTATTATTACATTGTTGATGTTTTCGAGTCTCCATAGTTACAGACCCATCACTAGCTTGTCACATGTCCCAGTGACGGTACATATGAGTGTATTGAAGTTTCCTCTCCTTTTATTCCCTGATTTGTTTTCAATAGTGTCAGATCATTGCATTGTTTCCTCCACTGAAGCCAGCTGGAGGAAAACCACGAGAGAAAAATGCTTCATACCCACTTTTTAAATGGCAGGAAGGTAATTCAGTGTTCGATAACAAAAGAGCTGAAATGATTAGTTGAGTGGTCGACTGGCAGAAAATTAAGTTGCAACATTTTTATAAATCAGTAACTGTTATATTAAATAAAACATCTTTGGATTTTACAAAATTTGACAGGATTGCATTCTGGGGAATCATAGTGGGCATTTTCACTGTTCATATAAGGTTTGAGCCCAAACTTCCCATCCCAGATGTACATTCTTCTACGAAATCGCAGCTTTGGTCTGTTTCTCCTATAAAAGAGGGAGCGTCTGCCCTTTGTCGTCAACATCTAGAAATACTCATCAGTGAATCCTCTTAGAACTTGTGTCTCCAGAACAGCTGCCTTTTACAACATCTTAACCACTGCACTCATTCTTAATTTTTCCCATCTGTCTCATCTGTCCTGGTTTACTTTTTTTGTCTTTCCGAGTGAAATCATTAGTGAAATCATGTAAAGCAGACAGTTGTCACTGAATGTCCCCCACATCTGAATGTGGATCATTGGCAGGACACTCCCTCTTGATGCTCAGCCAAACTGTGTAGACCATGACAACAGTTTAAATAACTTAATAAAAAAAATTGTGCATTCTCTTGATAGTTCTTAGCACAAAAAAAATAAAGATGATTGATGATTCCAAACAATTACTACATAGTTTAAATGAATCTGTGTAGATATTTTATATTTTGTAACTTTGGGTGTTACAAAATATAAAAGTTACAAAATATAAAATATCTACACAGATTCATTTAAACTATGTAGTAATTGTTTGGAATCATCAATCATCTTTATTTTTTTTTAGTTGAAATATGTGCATCGTCACACAGCTGTGTCTGTACAGAAGTGTATGCCTTCTATTTACCATAATGTAACCCCCCCCCAACAGTTTGGGAAAGAGGTTAGAAGTGTGAACAGGTTTGAAGAATTTCAGTAGGCTAATATTAGGTTACAAAATGTGATTCGTTTATGGTAGAGCATGTTTTGTCTCTACTGTCTGAAGCCACTAGTGAAGCAACAAGGGTGTAGCCCAGAGAGTCCATTCAGGGCCTGTACTTTATTGAGTGAGAGATTCCTCTGAACACAGGACTATTGAAAACTCCTGTTAGGGAGGAAAACTATAGGAGAGCCTGTGTGTTACGCCTCGTCTAAATGAAACACAGGGTCAGGGAGTTTTCTGGTTATGTAACTACTCGTGTGGGGTCACATAATGTGGTCTATAGGGGACAGAAGGAGATACTGAGTGGTCACTAACAGCGGAATTGTGCAGTCTTGTTTGTAATTTATTCCTCGAAGTGATGAAGTGTGTGTGTGTCTGTCTAGGAAGAGTGACACTGTGTTAGTGAACAGATGTCTGCGCTGTTCATTGTGTGGTGTACTTGCATGTAACTCATGTAAGCCATTGTCATATCTGACATAGATCAAAGGCAGTGTCGTGGGGCAGGGAATACGAGTGACAGTGTTTCATAGCAGCGGAGGTATGGGAAACATTCCTGCCTGCTGATAACAATCTACTGAGTGCTTCCGCTGGCGTCACACATAAATTGGATGGGGTTGAGGAACAGAACATCGTGTTCTCAGGGGGAGTCTATAGTCAATCTGAGGTCTGGTATTGGTCTTCTTTAAAACAAGGTGATGCTTTTCTATCACCCTTGCAGGCATAAACATACATTCATGATGAAGCCCAACCAATACAGAATTATTTAGGTCTGTTAATCAATAGGTAGATCAATATTTGAAAGTTTAAAAATCCTACTACTTGTATATCGGCTTATATACATTATCAGAAATTTTGATGAGGATGGTGACACTTTCTGAATGACCTTAAACATATTTGGCATTTTTGCATAGCAATATATTATTACACAGCAATTTTTTGCACAGCAATTTCTTATATATGCCAATATGGATGTATCTGTACTAAGGTCATATCACCTAAAATCTTTAGCCATTTTTTAACTGCAAACTAATGACATTTACATTAACCTCAGCTGTACTTTGTTTAGTGCTACACGCTAATGTTAGAAAGCAAATGTGCCAAACTAAGATGAGGATCATAGAACACAACTAGGGCTGAACGATTAATTGCATTAGCGATATTATCGTGATATTAAAAAAAACAAGATTTTCTAACCGCAAAGGCTGTGATTACACTCTGGTCCCATGACATGCAAGAGTAAACCAGTCTGCAGAGGAAGCATGACTTGTTGTTGTACAAAATTGGCGGTGTTGGTGGTTAAAATCGTTGGACCATCCACCACTGTGGCAGACAGGAAAAATGCTTAACAGAAAGACACGTGTAGTAAGGCAAGCGTATTGTGGCGATCGGCACCTGTGTCACACACACAGCCACCAGTCAGCTGAGGAAATATCTGTGAAACGACGTTTTAAACCAAACTCACAAGTCCGAAAGAGGCCCAGTCTGTCCTGAGTTACAGCCGGTGCGCTGCTTACTAGCATCGGAGGCTGTGGGGGTGGGGGACTCGGGTGTTGTTGAAGAATTACTATACTACTATAAAAAATATTTTAATTTAAATTAATACATTTAATTTTTGTGTGGTTGAACTGTTGATTTATCTGTGTTATCGAACTACCCATTTATTTTCTGAATGGATTTATTAAATAAGTTAACTGTAATAATGGCACGAGTAGGCCCCCATAGTCACCCCTGAATACAGTAGGTCAACAGTTGCTGCTGTAACTAGTCACTATGAAGCGGGTGGAGCAGAGATGTCAGAGGTGTCTGCCCGCCTCCTGTCACGCCTTCTGACTTCTCCACCCGCGGGTTCATGTTTCATTATTCCAAATGTGGTCACGGTTAACCCACTGAAACGCCTCCGGTGCGATCCCGCGGCCCCTTTTCCGCTACTACCGATGTAGCTACAGCAGCAGTCAGCGCCATGCCGTGCACGTTTTCCTACAAACCACCGTGCTGCCCCGGGGACCCGACCCAGCACACGACCTGCCAGCCGCTGCTCTCCTGTCGGACACGCCGCAGGTAACAGGAGGCGGCCGGATCCATGCCGAGTTCTGTCTGCCTGCAGACAGTTAAAGCGAAAGCTACCAGGCATTGTTATAACTTATAAAGCAAAGTACATTTGAAAAACGATATAATCTTCTTTATCTGTTTCATCAATGATGATTAATGACATGAATAGTAATGTTTATTTTTTGTTTTATTAGACTCAGTAGTAGTAGCATTTCCTTGATGGGACAGGTCTGACGTTTAGGCCCACAAGGTTTCTTTAATAGTCTCTCAATATTTATGAAGGCGATCTCTCGATTTGTTGTTCTTTACCGATGTGTTTTTCAGCATTTTAGTTGTACTAAAATGTTCTAAAATTAGGTTTTTCACTACGAAAAAATGTTGAGAGGCAAATTCACTTAAGTGAAAGCATGTCCACCACAAAGCATGTGCTGATAACTCAGTGGATCTCAGAATACCTGTTGCAGTGTCTGGAAATACAACTCATTTGTAATGGATTTAAAGGATTTGGACAAAAGAAATGGGCTCATCATTTCTGCACATGGTCGGAGAGTATATGTGGGTATTAATCCCAGTATTTTATATACATGTTTCTACCCATTGGGATTGCTGGCAGCCATTGGAGACATTACCACACCTACACTGAATATGGCAGTTTCACAAATTGATGCATTTGCACTAACTCTAACCTGCTGTGTCATCTGCTGCCGAGCTGCTCTAATTTCTCCTGTAACCTCAGTGACCTGACCTACATTAGAGTTATAACATACATGGTATGACAAAGACTGATAAGTTATTTTACATGACATTTCTTAAAGGTTAAGGCGGTTGGTTAGATTAATTGCGCACCAGCGTCTTGTCTTTTTTTCCCAGGTTTGGCTTTTTTATTTAATTAATTGTGTTTCCAGTTAAGATTGTTGTTCATTTGATAAGAAGAAAATGGTGCTGAGAGTAGAAAGTTGTCTGTGCAGAAGATTTTGAATCCTGAAACCTACTAGTTGAATTCTGACCAGACTTTATCTGTCTTGTCTTTTTCACAGGGCCTCGGGAACCAATGTTGCTGCCATTGATAATAAAATTGAACAGGCAATGGTGAGTAATGTATTTACTATTGACTATTTCTTCCAAGTAAGGTTTTCTCACTTTTTATTTTAAAATGTATGATGTAGGTATTGCGGCACATGGAAGTACAATGGCATCAGAGACCAAAATCTATACACACATAAACCACTGTGTTATTGTGGTCATTTGGTTTGAACTTTCTTCTTTATATGCTTAGTAGTCCATCCAGCTCTTGTGCCTGTCTTGACTTATTTTCTTCTTTTTGAGAACCATTGGGTCTTTATATTTCTGTTTTATCTTTGCCTTTAAGCTTGAATGCACCCTTAATACAAAGATAATGAATACATGAACAAAAATATCCATTAGCCTTGAACCTCATTGTGAGGTCCTGCTGCACGATAAATCAGTGCAAGTCTGCTGTTAGGTCCTATATGTTGTTCACCCAGTGGCACAATACATGTCATGCTCTTATCTCCTGCAGGACCTGGTGAAAAGCCATCTGATGTATGCAGTGCGTGAGGAGGTGGAGGTTTTGAAGGAGCAGATCAAGGAGCTGTATGAGAGGAACTCTGTGCTGGAGAGGGAGAATGCCGTGTTGAAATCTCTGGCCAACAGCGAGCAGCTGTCTCAGCTCTCCACCCAGTCGGCCACTAGCTCCGGCACCACACCTCCCCAGCTAGGACCAAGCCAGCCTCAGCAACAGGCCCAGTCTGCGCTTCAAGTTCAGCCTCAGCCGCAGTCACAGCCCCAGCTCCAGCACCACCCCATACCCCAGCAGCTCCAGACTCAGCCTCAGCTCGATCCTGGCCAACAACAACAGCTGCAGCCCAACGTCACCTCCGCTTGAAGTGCATCTGCCCTGCTTCACATAGGGCAGAAAAAAAGAAGAGCACCTTCTCCTTATTACAATTAGTGTATGTGAAATTAAAAAGAAGAAAAAAAAAAATGTTTGTCTTCTTAGCCACCAGCTTGACCACAAAGTACAATGCGTGTGTGTGTGTGTGTGTGTGTGTGTCTGTCTGGGTGAGTAAGCAAGCAAGCGTGACTGTGAAATGTGAGCATGTATGCATCTGTACTGTGGGCCTTTCCAGTGTTAATGCAATCATCGAGAGAGAGACAGAGAGAGAGACAGAGAAAGTGTATGTAGAGACAGAATGTCAGGGAAGGTCGTGGGTGCTGTTTTTCATCTGCTCTGTGGTTGACTGCTTTGTCTGAGCTTGTGGACAAGATGTCTTTTCTTGGACCAGGCCCGAGCCTGACCGGCCTGCGACCTGACCTGAAACTTGCTCAGACCATGGGTGTGGAAGGGGGGGGGGTCACCACACATAAGGGACAAATGGAGTGATTGTGAAAAGAGGCCGATTATTTTTTTAAATGACATAATTGAGTGGGTAAAGGGTTATTTTTAGCCTTGCTGTTTCATGTTGTAAAGTAAGAAGTGGGAGAGAGTCTGTCTTTGTCGGAGCGCCACACTGCTGCCGTTACTTTTACATCAAGTCCAACCCTTGCATCGGTCTTTTGAGTTCTACTGTTAAGTGTTTTATTTATTACAGGGCTGCTATTTTCATAAATGAAAAATTTCATGAAACTTCTTTAACAGTAGCCCAGTGACTCGTTTCCTCATTTCTTCTACAGTGTTTCAGCAGATTGGCCATACTGCTCTGGGGCAACGCTTTATATTTAATTGTTAAAACAAATGTAGGCAAACAAAGAAATTGACAAATGTTTAACACTAACTCAAATTTTGCTCTGCAAATGCCAATTTATAGCTCAATAGAAGGTCCAGTATGAATGTACATTTTTGTATAGTATTAAGAGCCTTGATAGGTGACTCTTCACCTGTTGACATCAAATCTTAACGTGAGCCTGCAGAAGGTTGATGAAGATTCAATTCTGCTGGTAGTTTTATCTAAAAGTGAATTAGTATTGCCATGTCCCCCCTCCTTCATGTTTTTCTTCCCAATGTTTGAGGGGGCCAGGGGGGGGGGAAAGCTGTGAAATCATTCAACCTACTTTGTAACCAAAGATGCAAAGCTGTGTAAATTCATTATTTCTAAATGCACACATTTCTTTTTTTTTTTTACTTCCTCCTTCACAAAACTATTTTGTTGCTGTTCGGCATGTTCTGCATGATCTGTAATCTTCAAACCACTTTCTTACCTCATTTTTATTCAGCACTCTTATTGTAAGATAGTCTGTGAACAGTGTAAATGGGGAAAAATGATGCAGAGCGGAGAGTCATGTGGAGAGCAAAATAACCTAGCGTCACTGACACTAGTCAGAGAAAAAAATGAAGTGAGCCATGTTTTGTTCCTTTAAATGGTGTTTGAATTTCATATGCCAATAGTTTTGTTACATTGCAAATTTTAATGTATTTAAATAAAAGCAATATTCAGATTCCAAAATGTGTTTCTTTTGTTCCAAAGTTCCAGGAACATGTTTACTAGTACATAAACATTTCCTAGTGTTAAGAACATTATGAATCTTTTTAGATGTGCCCACGTCGGGAGGCTCAAATTGCTGGCTCGTCAACCATTTATAAGCCCAACACCCACACCAGGATACAAAGTTACAAATGCAAAGAACATGTAAGTGGACTTTCTAGATAACTAAAGATATTTGCATTAAAACATTAACAGAGGTGACTGGTTTATGTTTAACAGCCAGATGGCAGTGTTTGCTCACCAGAAGATTTTCAGCATCTGTGCTACAAATTAATCTGAAGCTATATCAAATCTTTAAAGAGAAACTTCTTTATTTGAGGAAACATTACAAAACAATTCTCAAATGTCAAAAAGGGGGTACCGAGAACATACGTGCCACCCCGGCAAATACATAGCAGTCCTCTGTGAAAACAAATACTTCCAAGCTGTCCTCATTACAGTGTCAACGGTTCGGGGGGGTGCTCTTTCCTTCCGTGTATGACATTCACAATACAAACACTCCATCACAATGAAATGGACAAAGAATTGAGACTTATTTTAAACAAACTCTTCCATTGACACTTGAGTTCTCACAGTTTGTCCCACGGTTCCCCTTCCTCCCATTAGTAAAGTCAGTCAGTGGGTCAGCACGTCCCATTCATCAGAAAGGTGAGGTTCACTGCGTGGGTCTTAACAGGACAAAAGGGGATTACTCGTCACTGGTCTTCTTGCTGGCTAACCCACAGTAACAAATCGGCTGCCTTTACTGCTGTGTGATGTGGTGGCACGCCGATCTTTTAGGATGCGAAATCGCTCATTCAAGGTCATCGACGTTTGCTGAGGAAATAAAAGAACACCAGAAACACGTTAATGCACTGTTATTGAGCAATATTTTTGAGACAGACAATGTGGGGATACAAACACCTGCATTTAAAATGTTCCTGTGTCTTAACCATACAGAAATCGCAGCATGCTCTCACCGGTTTCCCAACACTATTGATGTCAAATTGCAGAGGCACTCCTTTTGGTATTTTCTTCTCCACTGTTTCCACCTTAACGGGAGCAGAGCTGGCAACTGGGGGATGCAGGGTCCAAGCAGTGGGAGGCCTACAAAGAAGTCACACTGTATGTCACTTTTATCTGGAAGTGTCTTGTATGTGATGTTTAGTGTGAAGGTCATAACCAACATGCATATTTACAAATTTGTTTATGTATGCAATATAACACACCACTATTTCAGTAACTATGAATAAAGAAATATGCTTAAGTAGATGATCTCCTAAAGGATATCTAAAACCAGTGCGGAAAGATTCTGCAGGGTTTAGGATATTTACTCAGGCTGAGTCCTGGCTGTGGGGTTGTCAATTGAAACGGTCAAGATTCCACTGCTGGTTGTAGATGTGCGCCACCTGGTGGACAAACAGAAACATTGTCTTGTATCACACAATAACAACAGAACCGGACCCTAATATGGCAAACAATGGTCTTCTTTCCCCTCCAAATGATTCATATCCTCAGTGCAATTTCCTCTCACACACACACACACACACTAAGGCAATTAGGTTTTTTTTTTTTTTTTTTATGTATAAAAATACTCACTGGCGGGTTCGGACTGGAGAAGTTTCAGGATTTGGCTTGTGCACCTGGGCCTGCACCTGAGAATAAACACAGTGGTGTGTTGACATGTGGATTTAGTCCAGAGATAGATTTCAAAGTACCAATATGCCCAGACAAACTGGTTATACTACATAACCTCACAGAAAAGCCATGACACATTCTGGTAAATCTACAAATACAGGATGTTTAACAACTCTCAACGCCACACATAACCATTATGTACCTTGAGTCCTCTGCGAAAAAGAAATGTGGCCTGGCGTGCTTCCCTCTGAGTATGCTGGACAGACGGCAGTGGTCTGCAAGACCAACAACAACAACAGTATTGAAATACCGCGGTGTATTCGGTGCAGGTCTAGCAAAGTGTACAGTGTGTGTTCCTGTATACACAGTTAACCACATAAAAGAATCAAATTTAGATTCATCTTTATTCCTTTACACCAGTTTAGAATCAAACTACTTTTTAGATTACATCTCTTTAAGTCTTTCTTACACCACTCCCACAATTCCCCTTGTATTCAGAGAGAACTACACGAGCACAAGTGCACCATAGTACTGTACACAAGTTGTTAGATGGTGTTCTCACCGTCGCTGCAGCTGAAACGGTCTCCTGACAGATGTCGCGTTCTGGCCCCTCTGTGGATCGAGCTGCCTGTACAGCCGCCTCTGTACCTCTGGCTTCCTATACTGGGCTTCAGGGCGCTGAATGAAGGGCTTTGTTTTCTGTCTCGTTTTCTGAAAGTGGATGTGCAGATAAGTACAGTATAACCAAAGGCCGTACTTTTGAAACAGGACTGCTTCAACAAATGGAGTGTAAGAGATGACATGGTTAGCTCATTGTACTGTGTGACAGTAAACAAAACATCCATTCAAATTAGAATAAATAAATATACTGAATGTATGAATTACTGTCTGGAATTAAGTGAGATGCAGCTGATACAAAAACATGAAAGTAACTGGTGACAGAAGAAAACAGTCGCTTCATTGTTAAATTCTTAAAAAGGATAGGTAAGCTCAGTGACACCTAATCAATCTAATCAGCTTGGTCAAATCTGCACAATTTCAGTGTGTAATAGTGGTTGACCAATACGGAATTTTCAATGGCCGATGCCAGTATTCAGAGAGCAGGGCGGCTGATGGCCGATATCAAAACAAAGAAAAGTCATGTATAATCCCATTATTCCAAGCAGAGTACAACCTAATATACAGTACATGGTTATCTTGGCCAGTTAAGTGTTGTCTTAGATGGAATTTTTTTATTAATTATTGAAATAGAAAAATACATTGGGTTACGCTGTAGTTTTCAATACATGATTGTTGTTTGTGTTTAAAGGAGAGTGGGGTACAGTTTGTCAGAAGTGATGTCATTCAACTGCATTATTTTCTACAGTATAACAATATTTTTTTAACACTAGCCAGTAATGGTTTTAGATTAGATCTGCTGTCATTTAGGATGGGAGAAACATTTAATACAGACAATGGTGACTGAGGACATTTAGGGCTACAAATAGGGCTGAACAAATAACCAAACCTTTGTCAAAATCGCAATATGACCTACTATCCAACGAAGGTTAAAATCAAGGGCAACTGGACTTGGTTGAAGATACTGGAAGACGTTTCGTCCCTCATCCAAAGGACTTCTTCAGTTCTGACTGCCTGGCAGGGAAACTCAGCTATTTAACCTCAGTGGGGACGTTGGCCCGGGTCATCGATACCGCTGGTTCGTTAGTGTTCCTTGTTGCTGTGACGACAGTCGTTACAGTCGTTAAGACTACCTGTGGCCAAGACTGAACGACCATCGTTGGTATCCTCACCTGAGGCCAATAGGTTACGTTTGTTGAGTTTCCTGGGAAGTGATGAAAGGACAGCATTGTAAGTGGGGGATAAGTGGTGGCGTAGACCCCCTCCCCTGTTCAATGACGGCTTCTCAACCCTGGTGTAGATGCTTCCTTGACACCTCTTTCAAACCATCCATCTTCTCTGTCTAAAATGTGCACCTGGTGGTCCTCAAACGAGTGTCCTCTGTCCTTCAGATGTAAGTAGACTGCAGAGTCTTGACCTGAGGAGTTGGCCCTTCTGTGTTGAGCCATGCGTTTGGGTGGTGGTTGTTTAGTCTCCCCAATATAGAGGTCTGTGCATTCCTCACTGCATTGGACCGCATGCACAAGATTGCTTTTCTTGTGTTTGGGTGTGCGGTCGTTAACGAAGTGAGCTAGCTGTTCCTGGACAGATGGCAACTGCTGCCAGGAGACAGGATGTGGAGAAAACTCTGCCTCTGGGCATGATGAAGGTCAGGCAGATCCAGGTCACTGAAGCAGGAGGAGCTCAGTCTGTTGGTGTGCTTGCTCAAAGAAAAGAAAGGCAAGCAAGACTGGCTTTGTTAACCAATGTAACAAACTAACGATCCACAAGTTTTTGAAACGAAGAAGAGCTCCGTCTGTAGCTGACAAAAGGTCTCGCAGAGTTGATCAAACTTTTGTGCAATACCAGCACCAAATAGATAAAGTTCCAGTGTAATTAGGGCCCGAGCACGACCGTGTGAGGTCCCTATTGAATTTGCTAAGATTATATATATATATATTTTTTTCCCTGCAAAAGTAGGCTCAAATGACATGGCTTAAACATACTCGAAAACTCACCAAAATTTGCAAACATGTCAGAACTGGTGAAAAATTTCGTATTCTATAAGTTTCGCACATGGGCGTGGCAAAATGACTCGCTAGTGCCACCTAGAAAATTGGAAAAGATTAGCCCCTCGTTCACGTTCAACCTACATGTACGAAATTTTCTGGGGACATGTATCATATCAAGACGCACAAAAAAGCCTCAAGAACCCATAGCCTAAAGTCAACAGGAAGTCGGCCATTTTGAGTTTTACGGCCATTTTTGGAAAAGTGTACATGTAGGATGAGAGTCCCGCCCTGAACACATGTACATGCTGACATTCACCCACAGTCATAGCGCCACCTGCTGGCAACAGGAAGTGACTTTTAACGAAGCAGCCCCCGCCGCACGTTTCACCTATGTGCACGAATTTTCTGTGGTACGTGTATGCATTTCTTCTTCTTCGTTGCATGATTTAGAATAATAAGGTGAGAAATGGGTCTGTTCTGAGTTCATCCTGCACTGCAGCAGCTAATAAAGTCCATTTAATCCCAAAAACGCTTTTCTTTTAGGCAGGCTGGAGCAGAAAACAACTCACCTTTCTCAAGTTGTACAGTAATGTCACATGTGTATGAAGGTGGATCAAACAAGCTAATCTTAAATGTCAAAGTAGAGAGGAGCCAAGTAGGCCTATTTATTTTCATTCATTACACAATATGAATAAGCTATGCAGACAGTTGTAAAGAAAGAACATCTTTTTCTTCTGTTCTCTACTTGTTATAGTTACACAGTATTAGGGGTGTGGGCTGTATTAAAAGTATCCACTGTTCTCCCATGCTCTAACACACAGAAACGATGAAATGTGTGCTGTTCTCACATTCTCCCTCTGTATGTACACATAAACAACAAGGCAGGGAAATATAAAAGGAATTTATTTTATTGTTTGGGTACATTATTGTTCAGTGTACATGCTCACATCTGAAACAAACTTTACGTGCTTGATAACTGTCCCACCCCGCAGACATCTACACGCCAATACCGATTTATATTCATAGCGGCAAGTGCTATGTAGCTCCACATAGGGGACACAGGAAGCGACATATAACACCTTCATGCGGCGTCGGAACCGCGTAGCAAATTCACAGCCGCACCGGCAGAGCTCCAGAATATGCAACTCGGCCGGCTCACACCCGGACGCGCTACAAGTGAGAGGGCCCGCCCAACGCTGCTTGCAGCTTTAATTAATATTTGGCACTGTTTCTACTCTTTTCCCTCTTCTTTCTTTTACATTATCTGTGCTTCAGTTTGTTTGTCTTTTTTTTACTACTTTACAAATTATTTTCTTATAACACTTTGTATTTGGGAGACAAAGACTGCCTTCTCATGCTGTGCCCCATCTACTTGGAACTCCTTACAAAAGAAAGGACCCTCCGGCTGGAGGTGCTGGTGCCTTTTGCGAAGTTCAAATCATTGATTACAGGTTTTTAAAGATGAGTGTAAATGTTTTAAATGAGCAAGCTTTTCATTAGTGTATTCTTTATGAAGGCATCTTAATGCACTGTTTTTTATAGTGTGCTGTTGCATAATGTGTATAGGTAAAATAGTAGATGTTTTGATGTATTGTTAATGTTTTATGTCTGTACGGTCAGACTTGCTGTCTTCGTGTCGAGATTTTATCTCAATGATCTGTCCCTGGTTAAATAAAGGTTACAATGAAATAAATAAACAATAAACAGTGTCTCAGTGGCCAGCATTTAAACACTATGAGTCTAAACAATCCTACTGAGTACATACTGAGTTGACCTACGAAATATTGAGAAACTGCCTAACGTCCTACCAACTCCTGGTCAAAGTCTCCAAAACAAAGTACTTCTCTGATATTATTGTTAGAAACGCACACAGCCCTAAGACCTTGTTCAGTGTAATAAACACTGCATTAAACCATGCTACTGCACTCACAGATGCTACTGCTGAAATTACAAGTTCTTGAGGTTTTTTATTGATAAGGCTAACTGGTACAAGGAAGAGTGACCATATAATCCCAGTATTGGCTGCTCTTCACTGGTTACCAGTGAAATTTAGAATCGACTTTAAGGTGCTGCTAATTGTTTATAAGGCATTACATGGACTGGCCCCATCTTATATTTCAGAACTCCTAATGTTTCATCACTCCTCCAGATCCCTCAGATCATCAAATCATTCCCTCAGCCATCCCACAGTCTCGTATGAAAACAAAGGGTGACCGTGCCTTTTCAGTTGTGGCCCTGAGACTGTGGAATAATCTACCCCTGATTATTAGATCATCCCCCACCATCCACACTTTTAAGTCTCAACTTAAAACACATTTTTATTCTTTGGCGTTTGAGTCTGTTTAGGGGCACCTGCACTTGTGTCTTTATTTATCTATTTTGTATCTAACTGCGTTGTTTTGCTGTATGCCATTAATTGTCTGGCCTGTTTTATTTTCTCTGGTTTTATCCATTTATTTATATATGTATGTATGTATGTATGTATGTATGTATGTATGTATTACATCTTTTTCTGTATAACTTGTCCAGCACTTTGGTTGTTTTCAAATGTGCTTTATAAATAAACTTGACTTGACGAGGTGTTCCAACATTGCTTTAGCAAGATAATTCCTCCAATAACCTATCTAATTACATTTATGTTATGATCGCACAATATGATCTGAGATTTACATTTTTTTTACATTTACATATTTAGCTGACTCTTTTAAAACCTTCATCCTCAGCACTACTCCACTGAATAAAGTTATTTAATTCCCGTCTACCATTTTATGATTGCTTTATTATTGCTGTAACGTTATATTGTCTTCTATGTGGTAGAAGGGAGTTACAAACTTAATTTCACTTTACAACCTGTCGTAATGTGACAAATGTGTACCTTGGAATACCAATGAAATACAATGAGGTGCAAGACTGATCAGAGGCTATAGTGACCAGGCCTGTCTTGTGTGTGCACTGACTCCAGGTTGTCCTCCATTACCTGGTTGATTGCTGCTCTGTTAAGTGTTCCGACTCGTTTCAGCAGGGCAGCTGGCCTCCTGGCTGCCAGTCCTGTGATAACCCCTTGACCCCGTCGTCGGCCTGGTGGTGGAGGGACCCTTCTGTTTCTTATTTTCGGGGCTCCTCCCCGGGGCACGCCACCTCCTGGTAAAGATAATATTAGCGACATTACATATGCACAGAGTTGTTTTGGCAAAAACAAGTAACAGTTACCAAGCAAACGAAAGAGTGCTATAAAATAGCACACACACCTCTCTGAAATGGTCCAGCAGCCCTCGACGGGACTCCCTTTCCTTGGGTTAAACGGCCTTTCCTCTTGACTGGTCGGCGGTTCACATTGGCCTCTCTCCTTTTTAACTGTTGCTCTTTTTTGTTCAACCGAATGATGTCATCTGTTAAATTGATCACACGAGCAATTGTTAACAATTTCGTGTGAATGATCAAATTACGTGTTTTTAGCTGGCTGGCTAGCTAGCTAACTTACGGACAACCCCCCACCAGTTAACCTAAGCTAACATTAGCTAGTACTCTGTTTTAGTAACGTTTGTGTTAACGTTAGCCATCAAGCACCTTACCTAATGACATGTCGACTTTATCGGGAACCGCTGGTGTTCTCCCCCGACTTGCTGTAAAATCATTTGTGTTCATACTTTTAAACCACGACACGCAACCCGAGAGGAAAATGAAAATACAATAATAGCTGCCCCCCGTGCCAGCTGACCGTCCCTTTTGAGGCAACAGACACGAACCTCCTCCGAGCCGTAAACTGCGCCGCGCATGCCCAGCAAAGACATTCCACTTGCATTGTGGGAACTGTAGTTCAATCCAACAAAAACAGAGTGTTACAAAACCTAAACACCACCGCGCTCATGTAACCAGCAGTATGAAAGGAAATACGATACCACCTAACGTGTTTCTCGTCGCTGGACTTATAAAAGGCCCGTAACTCCGCAAGCCCTTTCCTTCGGCTTACTTTAGCTTCAAATTATCTCTCACAGACTTACTTCAGTCGTTATTCATTGTATGTTGCACTGCATTTGGAGGAGGTAAGTTATATTTTCAACGCGACGGTCATTTGAATGAGAAGTTGTAGCTGGTCGTGTGGTTTGCTTTTTTCTCCATATTCTATATTCCATATCAGGCTTGTGTTTCTTAATGGAGTCTATCCTCAGAGTTTAGTCCAACATACACTTGTTTTCGTATTTTTTGTTTTCTGTAGTGATTTGCAAACGCACACGGTGTTATCACGAGTTGTTCACAATTTTCACTGCAGCTCACCTTTTCACTGTGCACCAAGGCGCCTCTTGAGGTTTGTTGCCTACAGAAATCAGAGGCCCAGTTCAGTATTCTCCTGCCTGACCAAGTCAATCACCAGTGAAATCACCATGTCAGCCGTAAAACGCAAGGCAACATCTGCTGCAGCGGCTGAAGAGCCCAGTGCCAAGCAGCAGAAGTTGGCTCCCATGAAGGAGAAGAAGGAGAGAGCTGGGGGCTGGCTGCAGGACCTTGTGACGAAGCAGAGGACAGAAATGAAGGAGCTGAAATTCAACAACAAGCGCCTTCGTTTTATATCTGAAACTAAAAAGATAAAGCAGGGCTCGGAGGGTGTCCTGTACTGGATGTCAAGAGACCAAAGAGTACAAGGTAAACACTTAGAACAACTTACAGCAGTGCACTGAGATTCCTGTTTTGGCTTGTATTTTCTCCATGTGTCCATTGTTTCCCCCTGTGTTTTAGATAATTGGGCACTGATCCATGCACAGCAGCTTGCCATGAAGGAGAGCCTACCTCTGCACATCTGCGTCTGCCTGCATGTCCCAAAATCAGAACTGTCCACTCTGAGACATTACAGCTTTATGTTGAAAGGTCTGGAAGAAGTTGCAGAGGTATTGACTTCATGATTTTTTGAATGCACTTACAGCCAGAAATTCCAGTAGTGCATTAGTCAGTGTGTCTATAGTCATTTGATTGACAGAAAAAACAAACATCACAGTACATTTACTGTATTCCATTAGCAAATAGACCAGATCAAGTAATACCACCAAATACTTGCAGGGTCTATTCACATTTTTTATTCAAGTGTTTTAAGCTGGTTAGAATCTACTAACATTTTTCAGTAGTTTTTGATCCAGGTACTTGAACCCACAACCAAGTCTCTAACTTTGTTGTTCTGCCCCTAACAAACAGGAATGTAAAACCTTAGACATCCAGTTCCACTTGCTGCATGGTTCACCGGGGGAAGTTGTCCCTAGCTTTGTGTCAGACTGCAGCCTTGGGGCGGTTGTGACAGACTTCTCCCCCCTCAGAGAGCCACTGCAGTGGCTGGAGGATGTCAAAAAGATGCTTCCGAAGGACATACCATTCATACAGGTAAAAACTCTGTCCACAAAGGGGAGAGAGTGTTGATGGGATGCTCTGCGTTCTGGGGCCTGAAAGTTCAACATATCCAGGATATCTTTTCGTTATCTGGCTTCACTAACCTTAACAGTCGATGCCGGTTATCCCAATCCAGTCATGAGCTTGTTCACATAAAAAAGGTGGTGTTTGCAGGATATGACCAATTGCAAACAGACAGCAGAGCATCATAAGCATGAGAAAACTATAATATTGGACAAATAGCCGATGACATAGTTAAACACACAATCCAGGCTAAAAGCAACACAGCTGCAGCTGCGACATGCAGGAAGTCAGAAAATTGCAGACAGTGTGAATGCCTAAGTAAACAGACGTCTACTATGAATGTGTTGCTTTGATGTATTCTTATAGCGTGTATGACAATTTTAGCCTTATTCTCAGAATCAGCTTTATTGCCAGGTATGTGTACACATACGAGGAAATTGACTCTGGATTGTACAATGCTCACGATGTGCTTACTTATACAATAACACAATAAGACAATTAAAATCAAACACGGCTACAGTATAGAGAACACACATCTATATATATATATATATATATATATATATATATATATATATATATATATATATATATATATATATATATATATATATATTATATATATATATATATATATATATATATATATATATATATATATATTATATATATATATAATATATATACACACACACTATGAACAAAAAACAGACAGATTGAGACAATAGTGCAATGAGCAGAGTGCAAAGGATGCAGGAGAAAATTATTATTACAATTGTTATTATTATGTACATGTCGGAGGTGGATGTGATATACAGGTGCACATATACATACATGCATACATGTACACAGTGTGATGAGTGCAAAGAATGCTGGAATAAATAAGTATTATCTGCAGGTGTTATGTACATCAGGTAGGTGGATTTGATATACAGTATATACAATATACAGTATGAACAATGCTGAAATAGAGAATGATGAATAAATAGTAAGTGGTAGCCAGTAAACAGGTGGCAGATTTACGGGGTTATTGCATATTCTCTGCTGTGTGTCGGCATTTTTACATTAAACACCTCATTCCAACTCACATTCAAGAACATCTGGTAACTTAAAGAAATCTGATTCATTTATTTTACACACTCAAAAATGTTCCAAACATTGTTCTAAATTAACTTCATAAAGCAATGAAACGAAAAATTCTATCATGCCATAAAATGTGCTCTAAAGGTGGTTGAAAGACTGTATTTCAACATTTACTTAAAACTCACCCACATTACCTGTGCCCAGATAGCGAAAGGGGGGGCGGTACATTTTGTTTCGTCCCTCATCCATGAGACTGTATTGCCTTTTTATGTGCCCATGTGTGCTGTCAGTATTTCTTCATTATCTGTTATATGAGTTAAACACCTCATTTTCCTTTTTATAGGTTGACGCCCACAATATTGTTACCTGCTGGGAAGCATCACCTAAACTTGAGTACGCCGCAAGGACAATCAGAGGAAAAATCAACAAGCTTTTGCCAGAGTTCCTCACTCAGTTTCCTCTGGTAGAGAAACACCCCTACACGGCTACAAGAACCACAAAAGTAAGTGCTGCAGTAACAGTATACTAACAGTATATTCATTTTCAAGGACTGGATCTGGTTGAGAGTCCTAAAAATGGTTCTCCTAAAAATGTTCCTTGAAGTGTTTTCTAAGATCAATACAAGGGAAAGTGAGCTGTCAGTGAGCTCATTGATGTGGCGTTTGCAATAAAGCACTTCCTTTCGACCTTCACCAGCTCCCCTCCTCTGCACATTATTTATTGACGAGTGAATATAAACAGTGGACTTTTTTGACTGTTCAAAAGTAAAATAAAAAAAATCCTTCCCAGCACTTGATGTTAAGGCTGCAGGGGTGTGCGCCTTCGCTGCAGTGCTTTGATTGATATGCCATTCACTGGTTTGAGTCCCCTGATAACATAAGCTAGGTGAAAGGCTCAGAACCTTCTTCACCTCTTTTGAAGTTTGCAGTGTATATTTTACTGTCACCTGTGACCTCAGCTGAATTTTCCTCTTTTCTCCCACCTTTACCGTACAGCAAGTAGACTGGGACAAAACCCTGGCCTCCCTGCAGGTTGACAAAACAGTTGGAGAGACGGAGTGGGCTAAGCCAGGCACCAAGGCAGGATTGGCCATGTTGGAGTCCTTCATTGATGTACGCCTTAAACAGTTTGACACCAAACGCAACGACCCAAATGCTGCAGCCCTCAGCCAGCTCTCCCCCTGGATCCGCTTCGGTCAGTAGTACCATGAAAAGGTGGTTAAAAAAAGGGTGTGATGCGTGTATTGGGGGCAACTCTGTATTCACTCTGGAGGTCCTTCAACCACAACAGTCAAACTTTAGACCTGACCTTAGTACAACTGCTACAAATTTTGTGTAGACTTAAGTCTGTTCTTACAGATGGTTGTCAGGGTATATTTTCTGTTTCTAGTAGCTTATTTCTACTTTTAAATTGTACTTAATTCTTCACCTTATTTTAGTGTTTACTTAATTTAATTAGCTCTCTTTCACTTCAGTTCTTTTTTTCTCACACACCTCTGTTGCAGACACAGCGGTATGCCCTGCCTCTTTCTGTGTCTTTCTCCACGTATGTGTCAGCTCTGTTGACTTTCTCCATAAAGCAGCTGAAAAGACACAGAACACGTCTTCTGGATTTTTCCACCCACAATTCTGTTTACAGCAGCAGATGTACCGCAAGTGGAGAAGGCGACATAGCCTATGAACATGAAACCAACTTGGTAGCTAACAAATGACATCTGCACTGATATGTTCACTGTCGCTTCAGTCCGTGCTTGTAAAATATTCACTGTGTACGCGTTTTGTAACATAATAACGTTAGATCTACACCTGTCCATTATCCCAACCTATAGGAGTAACTATTATAGTATAAGTTTATAAGTATAATATTCTAACATTCAATTAAAGGTATAATGTTAATTTATAATATACTGTTAATATAATCATATGAATTATATTATGCTAATATTTTCATTTTAATTTCATACAGTTGTTATACTATATATTTTACCACTAGTATAGTATTAATTCAAATTACAGCAGTTTCATTTTTGGGTTAGGGGGGATTACAGTAGTTTGAAGTATTTACTCGCACACACTGGATTAGTAATCTGGCGTACTGGGCCGACGCACCTTTGGGGCCGGTGTAATGTAAATTATTTATTTATATAACTATAAAACGGGCCAACGTTCGGCCCATAAAGCATGGACATCGGCCCACAGGATGATTTTCTTTACTGACACTGGACCCACCCCCTCTGCTCTCTACTTAGCAACTACTAATTTGTCCCGAGCAAATTGTAATCAAAACATTTAAATATAAATGTTGTTGGTCAGCGTCTAGTCAATGTGTTTGCTACGCAAACGGTTAACAGTCGCCGCAAAGTAGTGAGAGAATAACATGACACACCTGACCACGACACAGACACCTGTTGCTCTCTCTGCTGTCTCTGGCCCCCTCTCACAGAGACACTTTGCTCTGTTTGACTGTCTCTCTGTTCCAGGATGCTTGATTCCCTCTGAAGCGGCTGTGAGCTGAACTTTATCAGAGGTGCTGAAGTGAACATGTGTGTGGATGTGTGGTGATATTGCTGTCTGATCACAATGTTTTCAGTTTCGGTTTTCTACCTCTGATGAAGAGCAGTGAGCTCCTCTCATCCAGTACAGTCCCAGACGGGCACTAAAGGGGGAAGCAGCCTACTACCATATCAGCAGAGCAATAACGCAGGGTAATGCACAGCAGTGGGGCAGGTAGATTTTGTTAAAATATAATGACTTCATTTTCATTATATCTCGTAATATTATCTCAAATTATTATTGTGCAAATGTCAGAGAACACAGATATGTGGGAGAGATTTTTAATGTGCAGAAAGTTCTGAACATGAGCAGAAAAGCTGCTGAAACATAGGAGCTATTAAGGTGCAGGGGTATATAACTGAATTAAAATGAATTCATTTATCATTGAGGTGAAAAGGTGCAATGTGCACATTTAAATACTTTAGGTTACTTCAGTCATGCCTGCATGTGTGTTGACTCAGCAGGGATAAAATAAAATGAAAAACAGGAGAAACATATTTGACAGCAATACAGAATGCCTGAGAGCCTTACAGCACTATATTACACTATATTTTTTATTTTTTGAATGGTCACCTGAATTTTGTTTTTCCTTTTATATAAATAAAGACATTTCCTCAATGAATTGGTGCAGAACAATTCACCAGAATGCAGGAAATGATGTATTTAAAGCCCAAATTTTCCCCCTCTTCAATTAAAAACAATATATATTATCAGTAGTAATGATACAAATCATAATAAATGTATTTATATGGCCTATGATTTTTAATAATTTAAATGTAGCTTAATGATTTATAGGGTTCAGTTTGACAAATGGCATAATAAGGTAGCAGTTTTTCAGGGTTGATGCAAGTATGTCTCCAGAATGCAGGAAATTAAGTGTTTTCTATTTTGTCAACATATTAAAATATGTTGTTGTCTTGTTGTCATGGCCCCACTATTGTGCATTGTCAAGTCTCATGGGCTAAGAGTTTTGTCAAATCCCTAATCTAAGCCCTTAAGCAAGGACGGTGTAATGGTGAAATTTTTTGTCCCAGTCCAGCCCTGCACACACTATTCGTAAGTAATTTCTTGGGTTCGCACATATCTATTTTTAGGGGCATTTGTGAGTGAAGTACTCTCACTGTAGAATCCTGTATCTACATTGGATTACGGAGATATCCTGCATGCAGCTGACACTACCGTTAAACCACTGGATGGCATTTAACACAGTGCTATTTGAAAGTCAGCAGCCGTGATGCCAGATCACAGGCTTTAAAAGTTCCTCATACCAGCTCTTAACTGGGGAAGACACCCTTTTATCATTGCCTCCTTATTCTGTCCATCTTTATCTGTCTCTTTTCTGATCCTTTTCAACCATCTCTTCTTCCTCCCCTTCAGGCCACCTGTCAGCCCAGCGTGTGGCGCTGCAAGTTCAGAGCAGCGGGAAGAGCGCAGGTCAGTCCGTGTCCTCCTTCATCGAGGAGCTGGTGGTGCGCAGGGAGCTGACTGACAACTTCTGCTTTTACAACAAGAAATATGACAGCGTCGAGGGTCCGTTGAGTTATCAGTAATTACATCCTGTTCACACTGGAATGTGGTGTCATTCAGATGAGTCATCTGCTCACCAGCTGGATTCATTTGACTAAATTGATGTGTGTGTGTGTGTGTGTGTGTGTGTGTACTACTCAGGTGCGTATGAGTGGGCTCAGAAGACCTTAAAAGATCATGGCAAAGATAAGAGGCCCTATCTCTACACGTGTGAGCAGCTGGAGAAAGCAAAGACACATGACAAACTCTGGAATGCTGCTCAGGTACATTTAGTCTCTCTCAGGTGTTTTTGATGTAAACACATTTGCTCGCTTGTCCGTGTTGAGCTTTGTTTCTTACTGCTGTTTTTTTGGCTTTATCTCCTTTAGTACCAGATGATCACTGAGGGGAAGATGCATGGTTTCTTGAGGATGTACTGGGCCAAAAAGATTCTGGAGTGGACTTCTTCACCAAAGGAGGCGCTCTCAATCGCTCTGTACCTAAACGATCGCTATGAGCTGGATGGCCAGGACCCTAATGGCTTTGTCGGTGAGGACTTAGATTAAATTCTTATTCGTGCGTGTTATACTGATTTACTGAATTCGTTTTCACACATCTTCTCGCCCTCCCCGCTGTGTTTCCCCTCCTGTAGGTTGTATGTGGTCGATTTGTGGCATCCATGACCAGGGCTGGGGAGAGAGACCTGTTTTCGGAAAGATCCGCTACATGAACTACAAAGGCTGCCTTCGGAAGTTTGCCGTAGCCCAGTTTGAGAGAAAGTATTGTCCTAAAAACCTTTGAGGCATAAAATGTTTTGAAGGATAGGAATAAAATGCCTGACAGCATGTATCTCCTAAACCTTTACCTCAGGGAACAGCCTTTCTAACAGTTGATTTTCTTCTTTTTTTATTTTTATCTTGTTTTGACAAAAACATTCAGTATATTGTTGTTTAGACTGTTTATTTGACTGAATATTTAGACATGTTGTTTATGCTTATCAAGACTCTAAGCTGTTTTCTGGTAGGGTATTGGACAGTGTGCTGTTGCTTAACATTATATTTTGCTCTGTGGTGCCTACTTAGTAAGCAGAAAGAACTTTTTACTTTTTAATTATTGTTTTTTTTTCACAGTAAATTTTCTTTTCAAAAAGCTACCACAATACATGGTGTTCTTTTAGAGTAACTCAAAGGATTTGACTCCATTTTCTGAAAAATACCTCTTTTCAAACAAAACATACTGTACAACTGTAAACAAGGCGATTTGCTATCACGTATATATCAAGATCTCATTGTTCATTTAGAATATTCTTATCTGTAAGACCTGAAATGCAGCATATTTTTGATTTGATTTTTGACTTTTTTGATTATTCTTTACTCAGAAGGATACATCCACCCACAATCACGTTGATTGATAGCATTTGAATTTCATTAATAAATAATAAACTTCAATCAATTCTAAATTAATGAATTTAATACTAGAGTAGCTTGTAGTATTGTTATCTACAGGCTACTGATTCAAAATCTAATCAAATCGGTATATAAATGCTCTTTTTAACAAAACACATTTTAATGATGGTCAACAAAATAATTTGATTATTGAAACTCATGTTCTTTAATCCAAAATAGAAAAGACAAATATATATACTGTATAAAACACTTGTATTTGCAGGGTTTGGGAAACATCACAGTTACAAATGTGGTTTTATTGAGCACTGATGTGATTAAGCACAGAAACAAAAACCACTTCTACCAAACCTAATTAACTAGTGTATAAAAACATTCCCTTCAGCAAACAATGCACTTTAAACCATTTCGCAAAATCCAATATCGAACTCCTCTATGCTATGGGCTTTTGCTGTCTTACTACATTTCAGAGGAAAAAGATATGTCACCCAAGAATGTGCTTTTTTGTGCTGATTAGCTGAAACCAGTTTGTATGGTTACAAGGAAAGGAATATTACAGTGTGATATTTTATTCTATAATTTACTGGTTCAAGTTTCTATCCTACAAGCTGCTAATCCTTCAAATGCTGTTGTAGATGAAGAGTAAATCAGTTCTTGAAGATTAGTGGTTGAAAAGCAGCAGGACTATGAGTCATATTAAAGACAAGAAGTGACAGGAATTATTTTCCTTGCGGAAATGAGATGTGTTGCATAAACACATAAAGCAGCATGTTGAATAAAATACAATCATGTTTAAGCAGGTTATCAATTATATTTTAACTTGTCGAGTCTCCTGCAAGAAAATTGCAACATTTCTTAGTACAGAGATTTGGTAGTGATGTGTAGTTTCACACTAAGCTGTTATTGCCTTATATTACATGTGCTCCCCTACCAGGTACACAATAAATTCATGCTTACAGTGGAGGATGGTGTGGTTATACAAGCTGACAAGGATGCCCATATTTAGATGTTCTTCTTCTGGCAAACACATGAGCAGTGTTTCATGTAAAGAATTGTTTTATCCAGAGCTCTAACAATAGGCTCACTGGAATACCAATATTTCATTTTAACACAGAACATTGCATCAACAATGACTCTAAGAGGATGTTGCTGGTGATCTTCAAGCCAGGGGAACTGGCTCTCCTGCTTTATCAAATAGATCGTACTGAAAACTACTTAAAGTCACGGCTTTGTAAGAATACAATCACAGCTCTTTTTACACTGAGGTTTAAGCTACCTATTACAGCTGATATTGGGTTTCTCATAGAAAAATGTGCGGGAGACTTACAGGGTTTCACAAAGTTATAAGAATGAATTAAGTGCACAGCTCAAATTTGCTCAGCTGTGTAAATTTACCAATAATCTGGCTTGAGCAGCCCAGAGTGCTTCTCACATGAAAGCTTTGTGTCGTGCTCACAGTTTCACTTGAGTAGTTCTGTTGCTACCTCAGGTGGATGTCAAACAAAAAAACATACTACTAGGTCCAGTTGTTTTAGAAAATCAACTACAAATCTTTAAGACTAAAAGTCTACAACCTTTGTGAGGCTGTACTTAGGCACAGCCGTGCTTTCAACTAAATGCTGACATCACAATGTCAATGTTAACATACCGATTTTTCTCAGGTATCATGTTTACTGCGGTCGCTATATTTGGCACGTTAGCACATTTTCTAATTAGCACTAAATAAAATAATAGTTGAGGCTGATGGGAATGACATTAGTTTTGCAGTTTAATCATAAATTGAAGTGTTTTACCAGACAATTACATGAAAACAAAAGAAAACTCAATAAAAGAATGGGATGACCAAAATTATACACAATTTCATGGCAATCCATCTAATAGTTGGCATATCAGTAAAAACACATGTGAACCTCTGTCTGACAGATTGACATTGTTCCTAGAGCTATGCCATCTTTTCACACTAAACTGTAAACAAAGTCAGTCATAAATCATTTTCTATTCTCATGTATCATAGTTTCTTTATTCAGTTAGGCATACAGTTTTCCAGGTGTAATTGATCTGTAAGACCTGAGATATAGCATATGTTGCCTTACATTATTTTTACTCAAAAGCATACATCCACCCACAATCACTTTTAATTTAATTTAATTTAGAATGAAGCAACACTTGAACACTTTGAAGCATTGTTATCAAAAAGCTATTGTGACAGATAAGTGACATTTATCTCCAGAGATCTTCCTTTGTCCACTGTGCGCAACATTGTAAAGATGTTTACAGCCCATGGCACTGTAGCTAATCTCCCTGGAGGTGAACAAAAGAGAAAAATTTATAAAAGATTGCAACAAAGGATTGTTCAAATAGTGTATAAAGAACCTTGATCAACTTCCAAACAAATTCAGGCTGACCTGCATCAATAGGGTAAAACACTGTCATCTTGCACTATCCGTCGCCATCTGAATGAAAAGGGAGGACCTAGGAGGAGCCTGCTGCTGGCACAGAAACATGAAAAAGCCAGTGTGGAGTACCCAAAATCCTTCTGTGAGAATGTCCTGTGGACAGATGAGACTAAAATAGAGCTTTTTGGTAAAGCACATCATTGTGCATCATCATGAGGCCTTCAAAGAAATGAATAGGGTGCCTACAGTCAAACATGCTGGAGGTTCACTGATGTTTTGGGGTTTCATATTGCCGCTTCAGACACTGGATGTCTTGACTGTGTGCATAACATTATAAAATCTGATGACTACCAAAGAATAATGGTTTGCAGTGTCAGAAAGCTGGGTCTCCATCAGAGGTCTCCAATGGTTTAAGACAAAGCACTGAGAGTTCTGAAGTGGCCGGCAATGAGTCCAGATGACATGCAGACAGACAGGCAAGGGTGCCCATATTTTTGGCCACGACTGTACATGGTGAAATTGTTTCTTTGTTTCTCTGTATTAATTGTGCTTATTATTGATCGGGAGTCTGCAAAGGGTGTTTTATTTGGAAAATCTGTTCCGTGTTTGACTTCCTGCCCAGTTCGATCTGCTCTGCGTCGCTTCAGGCTGCTTCGGTCAAAATAGACTTGCTGCGTATTGTCGGCGAAGCGGAGAGCAAGAGCTGCATCTGATGTGAGCGCAAGCATTGACTAGATTGTTGACCAGTGAATAGACTAACCAAGACAGTTTTGATAAGTTTTATTTGGTTTCTGTCGAGTTTGAAGGAAGTATGTTTTACGATGAGGTAACAAGGTGATTAGTTCGGTGCAAGAGCAGACTAAGTTAGTCATTGGGAGTATGCAGGAATAAAGATCTCTAAACATCCAGACCTCCCGACAAACGCTTTGTCCATTTGTTTGTATTTGTCTGTTTGATAAGGAAAATAGGTGTAAGCACCTGTGTACTTTTACATTTTGTGAGTTTATTTAGTTTATTTATTAGTTTAAAAGCTAAGACAGCTTGTGTAACGTAGCGACCGCCGCTCAAACTCCCAGCTGAAACTACGAAAGGGAAACCAGATCCATACCTACTATTGGACCAGCCTACCAAGTGATATTACTATACAAGAGGCCTACAGGTCGGGATTAGCTGGTTAGCATGCTAACTTCCGTAGATAACAGAACTGTTACTTCTTCACATTCTGCTGATAATGTTAGTTTATTTTCTGGCCATATTTTACGCATTATACACTAGGAATAGAAAAAGACAAATATTTGCAGTATCACACACTTGTATTTGCAGGGTTTAGATTACATCATAGTTGCAAATGTGGGTTTATTGAGCGCTGATGTAGTTCAGCACAGAAACAAAACGCACTAATAGCAAATCTAATTAACTGCACCCTCAGTAAAAACAATCCCTTCAGGTAATAACACACTTCACACTGTAGGCTACTGCAAATTATGGAACCTACTGTATGCTATGGGCTCTTTTGTTGTGTTACATTTTAGAGGAAAGAGATATATGTCTCCCAAGACTGTGCATTCTTGTGCTAATTAGTTGAAACCAGTTGGTATGGTTATAGGGAATAAGAACATCAAAGTGTGATATACACCACACATGAACCTCGTGGTGGCAATAGAGGAAAAATCCATGGATCAACAAAGTCATTAGGATGCATCCCCTGGGACCATAACTGTCAAAGTGTATATACAAGATTTAATGGCAAATAATCTATTAGCTGTTGAAAATACATCAGACTCAACCAAAGCGGTGGATCGAGTGACAGGCTGACACTGTTGTCCCTAGAGCCACAACACTAGCGTGGCTAAAAACACAAAAAGATGAGATGTTGGACTATGCCAACCATGACTTTCTCCTGCTTTCCTGAGTTTGCAGTGTGAGTCATTTCAGCACAAAGACAAGAGACTTTTAAACAGGAGGAGAATGCAATCACAGCAGAACTCCTGTGTCCTGAGATTTACTTGTCTTTTGTGAAATAGCTTGTATAAAAATTGAGTGGGGCGCTAATCTCACTGACTAAGACTGGCATAACAAGGAAAAATGACAACAGTGAAGCGTTGCCAGAGTTTAATCAATGTGCTGTTGATAACTTCTTCCCTCTTTTATCTACCAATATACTTTTTGCTTACAATGACATTCGCTTTATTGTTGTAAGTACATTTTTCTGCAAGTACGTGATCTTATTGAGTGAGGTGCCCAGCTGAATAATGTTGTGGAACAACCTTGACACTCCAATACTGGTCTGTACATGCAATTTACAGGAGGGAAGGAGATAAAATGGCTTGAAATGGTGTTTCTTAACATTTTAATTTACTGGCCAGGTATCTTTATAATAAAATTCATTCCTCACATGCCCACATTGGCCCTGGAATCTGTGGTCGTGCATTAGTATTCAGACATTGTTGTTCAGTGTTTTTTTATTCTCTTCCTGTTCAGGATCACAAGAGAAGGAGGTGATGGCATTCACTATGTGCTGGCCATGGTAAGCCAAATGTTGAGGTTTGTAATATACCAAACCCGCACATATTTGGACTGTGAGATGACACCATCACACACACACAGAGCACAAACAAACCTCAAAGAAATAACCTGAGTTATTGCAGGTTTATTCCCTGTGAGGCAACTGTGCTAAACAGTGATTCACTGTTCAAAACAATACTCACAAGGGTCATGGATGGTCATGACTGACATCTAGAGGGCACTAGCACAGCTCTGTCTTCAGTTATAAGGCCATGCTGTCTGAGCTGTTGAGAAATGTAACATCAGTTGAGTTCAGAGCTAATAACCATGACATCAGATCACAGGAGAGGTTGGTTTTAAAAGTTCCTCATACTAACTCTGAACTGGGGAAGGCTAGTACAATGCACCTTACTGCTGGAAGGAACTGTAACGCAGCTTGAAGTAAAAGACACTCATTCTTAGAGACTTTAAAGCTTTACTAGCGTATATTTCTGATCTTATTTGTGTTTGCTATAATTTGTGTGTGTGTGTGTGTGTGTGTGTGTGTGTGTGTGTGTGTGAGATGTTGCTGTGATCTTGTGTACATGTAATTTGTTCACCAAATCACCAAAGTTATTACAATTCATCCTGAGGGGGGCATCAATGCGTATACCAAATGTCATGGCAAACCATCCAGTTGCTCCCAAAACATTTCACTCAATACCACATATGTCAACCTCATGGTGGCGCTAGAGCACAAATCAGTTGGAGACATTGCCTGTGAACCATGAATATCTACCAATTGTCATAGCAGTCCTTTAAATCAGCCCATCCTCACCATAAAAATGGCTGTAGAGGTCGATTGTGCAGCAGCTTATTATGACCCGTATTTATGTTTATTGTTATGCCGCGACCTTTAGTGGCCATATGATGGGAATACAAGAGAAAGTCAAGTAATGTAACCTAACACGCAGTTTTTTTGCCTAAAGCTAACCAAACTGTGATGATTTTATAACCACATGTTTAACGTGTCGTGACTTGCGTCGCATACTTCGGTAGCCTGTTGCTGGACTCGCACTTTCCCCTGGTCATATACAGTATGTCGTTTTGGTACAGTTGACAATGGACTTATTTTGTCGTTTAGGTATGAAGATGTGTTGCTTTAAATAGTTGTTGAGAAATTTCAGTCTGGACTAAAGCAGTGCACCCACCAACTGACAATGTCATCCCTAACGAGGCTAAAGATAGTTATAGTGCAGCTTTAGGTTTAGTTTAAGAAATGATTTGATGGTATGCATGCAACAAAATGTACATCCTAAAACTTCAAAGTTTTGTAAGCTCCCGCCTTCAGCTGGATGTTGGGTTTTTGGATGTACAACAGTCTTCAGGCTGCCTATGCTGCTACTACTGAATACTAAACCATGGTGCTGGTGCACAGGGCTGCTGAGCCTGTCCCTGCTCTGGTCTCTGCTTAACACGTCAATCCAAGGACATATCAGGCTCATATCTTTTTTCTCAACTGCTATTCTTTTTTTAATGACCTCAGAGCCCCAGTCAGAACCATCAGTGTAAGTCCCCCATCTTCACAATACGCTCAAACTCATGTCATTATGAAACACCTCTGCAGTGAATCATATCTCCTCCTACACCTTCTTGTGTCTGCTATGCTTTGTGCTTCTACATTTCCTCCTGTCCTTATACTTGTTTCAAATGATCATTTTATTGTCATAAGAATATTTTAAGAGTGCTGTATCTCTTCATTTTCCATCCCCTATAATCTGCTGCTTTAATAGAGCTGGTCTGTAAGTTTTGTTTTTACATTACCTGTGTCAGTTAAGATTCTAGATGAAAAATTGTAACTCTCTGTTTACATTATGTTGTGAGTCAAAACATGTCAGGATGATTCATATAAGTGACTTTATATCAATTTGAAAACCAGCAATGTGAGGCCACTTTGCAATTCATCCCTCCTACAACTCCTACTGAGCATCACATTGCCTTTTTGATTGTTTCCAATTCTGGCATTTTATGGTTTTGAACATGTAGAAATTTCCAGATATCTGCTGAACTAAAAAGTCAAAATGAAACACATCATACTTCTCATTTGGGTTGATATGTGCTTTAATTTCACAGCGCGTGACATTCTGCTCATACAAGTCTTTAAAGTTAAATGATACTGTCTGCTCCGTATTGTCACATCACACAGTGCCACGGGTGGTAATAATAACCGCACTCTTGAATGAATACCATTATTGGGTGATGCTGTGATGCGGCCTTCTGAACGAGTCTATTTGCAGAGCCGGTGGGTAAACAGTCTATTCTGTTATGGTGATGGAAGTTGTGAGTAGTTTGCTGTTCATTAGTGTTGGTGTGGCACACTGACAATATTGTGTCATTACAAAGTCAGTGTCCATCATTATTGTTCATTATTACATTTTTTCCATATTATTGACCCAGTGACAGCATCTTTCCCCTTAGTTTCTACCCCTCATAATCATCATCTCCATTTGTAAAAATTAGTTTTTCCCCTGCACTGTGTGTCACCCAAAGTTGAGATGAGACAGTCTAGTGCGAAGCTTCTTGTGGCTTGTAGCAGATCTCACAACTCATAAATAACTGGTATTGTTTGGGTAGCACTTTAACCATGATGTTTACACAGAAGTCCTGGAGCTGGTTTCTCTACAGGAGTCTAAACATAAAAAACAAGTGCAAAGACTCGTAATACACTGTTTCTGAGTCAAACCAGTAATAAGAATGATAACTCTGCTGGCACATCTCACTAACAGCACTGATGTTCGAGAGCAGGTCATGCAGTCGCATAAACTATTTCAAGGGTACACGCTGTGAAAAACATGTATGCTTTTAAACAGAAAACTGCATCAGATACAGTGTATTAACACAACAGACGATAAATATAAACATTTCCTATATACAGGTGCTGTCTTCAATACAATTAGCAAAATGTTGAAGCACTTTATTCACTACATGAAACTAAAGTGAAACCTTCACGTTTTTCTATCAGGAAAGCAATACTTGAATGTGATCCTAAACTTTTCCTATTAATTCAGCTTCAAACAATATGAAGAATTACTAATATTGTAGAAGTAATTACACAGTGCAGTTATCAAAGAAATATGTGTGGAAATGTGGCAGTTGGAATATTAAACCATTATGCCTTAAGAATTCAGAATATAATTTAAATACTTGTAAGGCACATGACTAAGCTTTGTCACTGGTTATAAATACCATAGACAGACCATCATGTTTATTCCTCTCCTTCACTCAATTGACTTTCATTTTCACCTCTTATTCAGTCCTAGACAAATGTTCTTGCTTTTAAACAGCAGACATTGTGCATTGTTCATTGTTTGCCGTGAAAGCGTGATGATGTTGGCACTCTGAGCTGGAATGCCTGGAAATGTTATGCTTCACATTATACAGTATATACAATAAATAAGTTTACTTAGTACACAAATAGAAATTATTTGAGAGAGTCAATGAGTTATATTTCCCATGCATAAAAAATGCTGTTGTATCATTTATATGATAATTTCATTGTTCAGCCACACATTGAACTCAGACAGATCGATGTGCTCCGTCTCATCATCTTTTTGCTTCATTCAGTATGTTGGCCCTCCCTCTAAATGGGATTTGAGCTACTGTATATATTTCTGCAGTCTGGATTTCCAGATACAGTAGCAGAGTGTTCAGTATGCAGGCATCCTTATGTTTTTAAGTGCTTGTCACATAACCTTTGTGCACGTGCAGGGTAATGTCTGGTCAGCTTCGTCTGACATCCCCTACCACTTACAGGGTAATATTCTTCCATTTGGGGCTAAGACCTTCTCATTTGAAGGTCTGTGGGCTACTTATCTGTACGAATTGGTTAAAATTAAGGGAAAAAACAACATAAAGTGTCTTAGTAAGTGCCTCTAAGTCCTTCCAAAAGATATTTTCTCATTTAGCGTGTTGATGGTGGTGGCAATTAAAAAAAAATACATTTACATTTATTTAGCTAATTCAGTTCAGTGGGGTTAAGATCCGGTAACTGTGTAGGCTGTAGGATATGATTCACACCATTTTTAGGCTCATTAAACCATTCAATGACCCCTTATTCCCTGTATAAGTTGCATTTCTCTACTCATTTATTCCGTTTTTCCATTTCATACTGTTGGGAATTGTCTCGCTCAGTGTGCTGCGTTGGGTCATCTGTAAGCTGGAGCGAGTCTGCCAGCTGTTAGAATAACAGGTAACGTGACTGAACATTTCTCTGAACCTGGTGGACATTAGGTTGTAGAGGATGGGGTTGATGGCAGAGCTTAGGTAGAAGCAGACTCCGGAGATGATGTGGACGTACTCGAAGACCTTGTGGTGCTGCTTGGACGAGGTGTCCATGTAGCTCCACATCAAGCGGTCCACGTGGAAGGGAGCCCAGCAAAGGCCGAACACAACCACCAACACACCTGGACAGGTCAGATGGAGAGTTTAGGTGAATAATAGTCAACTGGATAGATGCAGTGACAACAGGCAAATGGAAGCACACACACACACACACACACACTTATAACACCCCTGATATTTCTAGACATGTTGAGAGTCATGATGTCAATCCAATCATCAGCATGTGACAGACAAGAAGACAAAGCTGTGACAGATGGACATGTAAGTTAAAGAAATATTATGTAATATTTTTGTCTTAAAATAACAGCTTCAAAATCATTTTGATGGCACACTGATTTGTAACTGGGTGAGAGACATCACTAAGTTTTCTATGGCACTCAGTAAGGTTGAAATCCCGGGCAGGATTTCAACCAGGGTAATGCTGTACGGCACCACATCCACAACAAAACTCTTCAGCAAGCAAGCTATAAGAAGAAGCAAAGATTAAACAATGTAGAATGTAAGTTCTTTGGTACGGAAGCTCTAAGTGGCCATTGTTTCAAACTGGATAATTATCTCCAAGTCTCGAGATAACAAAACAGTAGTTTACCCCAGTGGTTTAATGGTGATATCAGGGTCACTGGTTAGTTCAGATGGTAGAGCTCAGGACTCTTAGAGTTGTGGGTTTGATTCTCACTAAACACTAACATTTTTTCTAATTTTATTTTTTCATAATCCTCTTCGACAAAGTTCTTATGAAGAGACTGTTCACATGCTCTCAATAAAGCATGTGCTGGACTGTTTCCCGGCGATTGGTCCACATCCATCTACCAATGGACTTTTCATTTTCTCATCATTCCCAGCCAAAGGAAATTCATCCGCTTCTCAGTCAGGGGAATCCATTTAACGTTATACATTTCCTGGTGGCTATTACTGAACCTTTGAAATGGCCATTGGGAAATGTGTGATTGGATTCCCCTGAATCTCTTCATAACAACTTTGTTGAAGAGGATAATAAAATGAAATGATGAAAGCAGGAGTTAAACCCACTCTGCCAAGTGCTCTGAAATTATCCTAAAGAAACGCACCCCAGTATTCGGCTATGGTTTGTATCTGAAGTTCGCGAGAAAATTATCCAGCTATCACAGGAAAACGGAGTAAAAAAATATTTGAATGGCTGCTTAGGGCTTCTGTACTTTGGAAGAAACTAGTTCTGTATTCTCAGTATGGATATCATGGCAGAGGATGCAAAGAGACTGAAGATGTTAAAGGAAGTGAGGAAGAGAAAGAGTGACCTAGCAAGACCGGACAAGAGTAAATATTGGACTGGCTTGGACTAGTTTCAGCTAATAGAGCTGAAATGCAGGACAGATGCAGAGCTGGCAATCTTTCTATTGGACTAGTAGCTTATTAGCTGGCTTGCTGAGTCTTCTGGTGTTGTTGCTCATTCGATGTGTGGCTATGTTAGCAAAGTTGTCAAAATCAGCCAGAGACACAGCTTTAGCCGCTAGCTATAAATCTCAAGTTGATGTTAGCAAACTTACTAGATAACGCACTTAGACATCAGTAATGTTACTGTAAGTGCTCTTGTGTCAGTTGCTGTCTAGTGTTGTTGGCTAGCTTGCAACCCGAGTTTTAACATTGTGCTGCTGCTGGTGGAGAGTGCCACCAGGCAAGCGGGCAACATAACCGGGCTCAGCAGCCTCTATGGATGTAACATTAACTAAGAGGTGAAGAGACAGAAGAGGGTGTTTACAGTGGAAGTTAAGAAGAGAAAAAGAGAGTGACCAAGCTAGAGGCTGCCGGACGTTACGAGAGCTTTATGAAATTAAAGGCTGCTAGACAGACACCAAGCTGGCTTTATTTCTGTGTACACAGTTGGACTTGGCCTGTGTTAGCAAAGTTGGCAACTTGTTAGCTTTTGATCGCAATGTAATCATAACAATGCACGTGTACAACCGTCATTATTTATTATTATTATTAAGGGTGCAAAATCGCTCAAATTAACACATCTTACATACTGTTGCTTTGAAAATAGTTAAACTGAAAAGAAAAATAAATGCATATGTGAACAATGGACACACATACACAAAGTCGATTTAAACTCAGTTTTCTGCTCCTTAGCAGATTGGAGAAAACATGACTGAAATGACACCTACATAGCATTTTGGTGACTTGGAGATTGCGTTTGTTCAGCTTCTGCATGTGGGACCTGGAGAGACTTTCTGGTCCAAAGTTACCCCTCGTGTCCACCACAGTCCTCACCCTCTCCCTGTGTAGCTGCAAGCCAATGAGCAGGTAGAGAATGCTAATCATCAGCATGGGGAGCAGGAAGAAGACCAACGTGGAAATCAGGATGATCAGGTTGTACATCCAGATGGGCTTGACCACATCTGATGATGGAGATGTAACAAAGGGGGGGTTAGGTAGATTTGTCAGTCAAATCATGATCCCAGGTGTATGCATAGCATCATATACAACTGCGAAACCTCTTAGCCCTTTTAAGCCATGCTAGCAGCATTGCTCTAGGGATGGCAATATTGGTCGGTTAATCACTTTGGTCCAGACTAAAATATGTCAAATGTGTAATATGTCTATCACTATTAGATGGATAGTTGTAACATTTGTGTTTACCAGAAGTGAATCCTACTGACATTGGTGATCCCCTGATTTTGTTTCTAGCCCCATTATCAGGCTAACATTTGTTGTTTTTTGAATAAAATTTGGATTTGAAACATTGTACTAATAGCTACAATTAGCAAATGTTACACTACAGTTACTCATTCAGCTGACGCATTTATCCCAAGCGACTGACATTTGCTTGTCAGAGGTCACATGCCACTGGAGCAACTAGGAGTTAAGTGTCTTGTTCATTGGTTGATGTCGCAGTGGGAACTGAACCCCGATCTCCCACACCAAAGGCATGGGTGTCTTATCCACCGCAACATCGCCAACTCAGTAATTAGTAATTGTACATCATACATTTTTTATAACGTTAAACCTCCTTAACATCTGCATGTTAGCACTGTCATTGTGAACACATTAGTATGTTGACATAGCCTTCAGCCTTACTGAGCTCAGAGCATGGCTGTAGACACTTATGAATAGCAAAAATAAGATTTTTATTCTTTACGTACAGCAGATGGCTGATCGGGGAAACTGTCGTCCAAACCTTGGAGGGAGCACCCAAATCCCGTGCAAACTGGTATTTGGCACAGCACACAGCATGGACAGCCCCCACAGCATGTAGATGACCCTCCTGACGTGAGCACGTGTGGTCATGTGTTTGACTTTGAGGGGGTGCACCACCGCCATGTAGCGTTCCACGCTGAGCGCTGTGACGTTGAGGATGGAGGCGAAGCAGACTGTCTCAAACAGGAAGGTTTTGAAGTAGCACCCTCCCTCCCCGAGCAGGAAGGGGTAGTTCTGCCACATCTCATAGAGCTCTAACGGCATTCCCAGCAGCAGCACCAGTAGGTCAGACACGGCCAGGCTCAGCAGATAGTAGTTAGTGGGTGTCTGCATCACCCTGTAGCGCAAAATGACTGCGCAGGTCAGGGAATTGCCCAGTAAGCCTACCGTGAAGATGGTAAGGTAGGTGAGACAGACGGGAAGGAACACTGGGGACCTTAGAGGGCCCAGGTGCCTGACCAGGTACTCCTCCTCGCTTAAGCATAAGTCATCCAGATCTGCTGTAGCGTTAGCCAACACCCAAGAGATATTCATCCCACACACCACAGCACCTTCGGGGCAGCCTATGTCACTGAAAACTGTGGCACCTATTTCGAAAAGGGTTGCAAGGGAGCAGTTCAGCTCCGGCATGTTGCTGATTGGCAAGACGATTTTTCAGCTTCTAAACCTAATGAAAAGAATAAAGAGGAGACATTTTATAAATTAAGTTCAGGCCACTCAGCACAAGGAGTATTGCAGTATAATGTCTTCTGTGGTTCTGGACAGAGATTTCCAAATTTTAAAAAAAATTACCCTGATGATGTCATAGTGATGTCATGAGGGTTATTTTGGCTCGAGACACAAACTGGTATGTAGAGTTTTCAGATCAGATGTATTTTGTAATTCAAATATATAATTAACTCTCTTCTTAAAAATATTAAAAATATATTTTGATGAAATATATATATTTTGCTTTTGATGAAAATTGCACACACTTAAATACATATATTTGTGGATTTCTTTTACATTTCTTTAAAACAATACATATTTATGTGTGCATCAGAAATACATTTGTGAATTTTTTTTATCTGTGTTTTTGTTTTACCATTATATTTTGACCAAAATCTACTCCAAAATTACTGGAATACTCCATTGAGCTACAAAGGTAGGTCAAACATTACACTGTTACCTTGCAATCTCAGAACCCATCGGCTATCATCTGACAATGATAAAAAAGATAATCAATAGGGTTCTGAGACTGATAAAAAAAAAAAGCTAAATCGTTGTCAGTTGATACTTGTTGGGTCCTGAGGTGCATTTTAGCCAATGCATTCAGCCTGTTTTCTTCTGCTGTTTACCTGGATGCAGCCAAAGCCTGCTCAAACATGATTGGTCTTACATAGACTAAAAAGGGACGGAAACCAGAACACCTTCTTCTCTCTCATTTGGTGGGTGTATCAGAGGTGTAACCCAATCAGCAGCAACATTTATATAAACCTCGCCCCACTAATAAACTAAAAAAAATTATTTCATGAGGCTTAGAAGAACACAAAGAATGGCCATCTCGTATTTCCAGCACTTGCCTAACTCAACAGGGTGTTCAACTCACCACCTTGTCTGTTTAAATAAACGTTTTGCTGCGTTTTGTCAGGGCTGAACGTGCTCCTGGTTTGTTCCACTATGAAATGGTGATAAACAATTACTTATCACTTCTGTGTCTATTTTTTGCAACAATAGTAGTGTCACAAAATGTATTGTAAAATTGTATTGTTTTTCATAATTTTCTTAAATATCATTGGTATATTCTCTTGTCCTCCCACAAAAACACTAACAATGCAGTCACAGTTGTCTTATTAGGAATTTATGTTCCGCAGACTCCAGAGAGACTTTTGTTTAGATTCCCACACTGAGTTTGTTTATCCATTCAGCATGCAATGAGTTATTAAGATAACTTCTTGTCAGGAGCAAAGAAAATACACACCTTCAGTTTGTGGGCGCCTTGAGGGCTTTATCCTCTTCTTTACATGATGAACAAGATTTGAAGAAATGTGAGAAGTTGTGTTATCGTCATATTTGTCTTCATCCTGGGCTTTTTCTGGCTCTTTATCTTGTCTGCTTTGGTGCTTCAGTGCGTCACTGCTCCCTTGATTTTCCGTATTTGAGTTCTGCAGTTTACCCCACCTCTCTCTCTCTCTCTCTCTCTCTCTCTCTCTCTCTCTCTCTCTCTCTCGCTCTTCATCACCAAAGCATCTTGTTTGCAGCCTCGACCATTAACCTCGACTTCTTTATCTCTCTCCTTCTTTTGATCTTTCTCTGTTTCATACACACACACACACACATCTAATCATCCCCCCATCTGTTACTGTTTCTATTGAAAGACCACATATTGCAGTGATGTGAAAATTAAAGTTGAGATTGCGTTGACCTTGCAACGTGTGTGTGTGTGTGTGTGTGTGTGTGTGTGAAGTTGGGGTGTATGAAAAAGAAATACATATGTTACTATTCCCTTTTTTCCAAGTCAAAGACAAAACAATAATCAACAATAAATATTCAATAATAAAATAAGAATGAAATGAGAGGCAAGAGGTCTTGCCAGGTTCTGGCATGAATGTTCAGAAATTGTAGAATCCTAAATTAAATCCTATTTTTAGTGTAGCTCAGAGACTCGGCAGTAAATGGTGACAGTACCTGTGGATGCAACAAACAACAAAATAAAATAACAATAAAAATGTGAGTCAAATACAAAAATAATATCATTTTATTTCAACACAATGTAGATCAGACCACAGCTTAAAAGCTTTTGGTTTGTCATGCATCACACATTTTCTTTTATACCTTTTTGTAATGCATGGAATGTGACGTAACAAAATATTTATGGTTCCAAGAGGATGAATTGTAATAACTTTGGTGATCCCTTAACTTTTCACATCAGCTCAAAATGTAGTCCAGTACTTTGGTTTATGACCAAATACCTGCAAAACTAATACATTCTCATCAGGGTCGGTTAAACTTTAGTGCTAATTAGCAAATGTTACAATGCTAAAGTGCTAAACTAAGATGGTGCGCATACATACATGCTTTGCATCAGCATGTTAGTATTGTCATTGTGTTGCCATGCTACTGTTAGCATTTAGCTCACTGTGCCTAAGTACACAGAGTAGCTAGCTTGGCTGTAGAGCCTTCATTCTTGTTGGGTTACTAATCAATAATTATTAAAAGCTATTTATGGGTCCTGCCTGGACAAACATTTATCTGTATGCTATATTTCAGTCAAATACAAACACAATGATGATGACACACAAGCAACTGGCCAATGAGAAGTTGTGTTAGCATGGATCCATACCATGCGGCGTTGGTGGGGTTGTGTTGTTAAGGTACCGGTGAAAAAATAAAATCCGATCCAGGAAGTCCAGGTTGAATAACATGCATTAAAATTCTTGTCAGGCGCCAAAATACTGCACAACGGTTTGTACAACTCACAGACAGCAATGTACAAATCTGAAAAGTTATTATAGCAGCACTATTTTATCTTTTGTCGTGACGCAAAGTAGTCAGTAGAAATATGCTGTTCATGTTACAAATCCGCTAGGAATGTCTGCTTGCATGTATTTTGACCAGCCATTGGCGTTGCCGAATGACATCACATTGCATTGCAGCAATATTTGAGCCTTGCCTTATTTTTGCTGGAGCCCCTTGCATCAGAACCCGGACTGTGCTGATGGACTGTCTCAATCCAGCTTAACGAGAAGGCCTTTTTCACTCAGGGCTACTATCAGTCTGAAAGCAGCTTTACTGAACTGACAACAATTAGCAAGTTGGTACATATAGTGACCAGGAATCAAACCCCTTGGGAACGTCTTTTCTGCTTCTGCCAAACTGATGATAAAATAAGTCAAACTACACGCATTATTCACCATGGAAACAGTCTTGTGCATATTTTATAGTGAGTTTTGTTGTTATTTTCAATTTGAAAACATAATTAGATGCAGCCATATCTAAGCAGCAATGCATGATCAACATAGTCTCATTACATTTTATTTCATCATATCTGCAGTGACCCTCCGGAAGAATGAAAATCAGGGTAAAGATATCTTGTGAATAGCTTTGATTTCAAGTGATTCATGCCTTTGAGTACTTCGTCTTCCTGCATTAAACATATAGAATGTGAGTTCAGACCAGATGCATAACAAGGGTGCAAACTACAGGCTTGGCTCCTCTTAATAAGCATTGAGCTCCCCTAAAAACATAAGTTGTGAAATTGTGGGGAGTCTCTAAAATATTGACAGCACACTATTTTTGACTGGATTTCCATTTTTCTGTATCTTCATCATCATGGATCATGCGTAACATTAGGCTTTCATTGATATACGATTGATGCTTGAGGGTGATTCATCACTAATTCACTTTAATAAAGATGGCAGCATGCATGCTATTTTTGTCACCACTGAAGCATGGTGATGCAACATCATAAACATCACTCACTTTAACTCAAAGATAAGGGGAAAAAATAAACTTTCTTAGTCAATCAGTCTGCACGTCAAATCACCATAATTCATTTAAGATAAAGCACTAGGCGAAACACTGGAAAAGCTTTGTACAGCAAGCATCCTCAAGGCTCAGATGAATATTTTCCCCACTGCAAACCAAAAGCCCAATTAATAAGAAGGACTGCTTATGTATGTGTACATAGGAGTGCTGATTTGATATGCTGATGATTGCTCAGCTAATAGACCATCCCAATGAGAAACATCCTACGCACTACATTTGCAGACAAGCAAGGACAGGAAAGGGAATTCTGTGTGCAATAAATCATCAACAGAGCTTCTGTCAGAGGGACGAAAATTCACAGTTTTGGCTGGCTGCACACGCCTGTGTGACTGCGTCGTAACCCCACCTCTTTCTGCCTCCCTCTGCGGTGGTGTCTAATTCAATCACAGCTTTTAATTCCAGTGCAGGGGCTCCAATACTTCCCCAGCAGGAAACTGACATGTTCTCATTGGTGCCTCAATTTAGTCGAGCATTAATTGGGCTTCTGTGTCAGACTGACTGAGACAAAAAGCTTTGATTCTGACGAGACCTCTCGGTGACCATGAGAGGTCAACAATGTCTTATTTTAAAATGGCATCATGGTGAGAGTTTATTCTATGGAGCCCCTAAAGTCCCGCAAGGTGATATTTTTTATCTTGTGCGAACAAGTTATTATTTTGTGTGATCAAATCTTGTGGGAACAAGTAATTAGGCTGTCTTGTACGCACAAGTTATTGTCTGCTGCAAAGAAGTTATTATCTTGTGGGAACAAGTTATTATCTTTGTTTCCTTTTGCAACAACTTGTCCCTTACGAGACACAACTGCCCCGAAGGAATATGTGGTAGCCACTGCAGCCTGTTCGCGGCTGCCGGCTGAAGCTATGTACTGCACAGATTGCAAAACCTTTTGCACCTACTAGTCATTTTGACACCAAAATATGTGAAAATAGGGCCCATATGTAAAAATTATCCTTTAATACTACCATGTACTATGCTCATAGGACCAAACTCTTTTAACAATTTGACATATTTCAGAGGTAAAAGGACACACCTTTGAAAAAATGTCCAAGCAGGTTCAAAAGGTAAATGTGGCAAAACAATGCACAGTTACTTCAGTGGAGATCTTTCAATAGCCAATATGAGTAAGAGGAA